AGAATACATTGTATTCTCATTGTATATTCAACATCATAGAGCTGATGTTCTTGGACTATCTTGAGGTTATCTTGAGATGATTTCGGGGCTTTAGTGTCCCCGCGGCCCGGTCCTCGACCAGGCCTCCACCCCCAGGAAGCAGCCCGTGACAGCTGACTAACACCCAGGTACCTATTTTACTGCTAGGCAACAGGGGCATATGGTAAAAGAAACTCTGCCCATTGTTTCTCGCCGGCGCCTGGGATCGAACCCAGGACCACAGGATCACAAGTCCAGCGTGCTGTCCGCTCGGCCGACTGGCTCCTCTGAACCGATCGGGGGAGTTTCTAGACTAAACTAGAGTTTTCCCCTGTACCACTAGCCATGGAGCTGTACCCTGTACCACTAGCCACGGAACTGTACCCTGTACCACTAGCCATGGAGCTGTACCCTGTACCACTAGCCACGGAACTGTACCCTGTACCACTAGCCACGGAACTGTACCCTGTACCACTAGCCATGGAACTGTACCATGTACCACTAGCCACGGAACTGTACCCTGTACCACTAGCCACGGAACTGTACCCTGTACCACTAGCCACGGAACTGTACCCTGTACCACTAGCCACGGAACTGTACCCTGTACCACTAGCCACGGAACTGTACCATGTACCACTAGCCACGGAACTGTACCCTGTACCACTAGCCACGGAACTGTGCCCTGTACCACTAGCCACGGAGCTGTACCCTGTACCACTAGCCACGGAACTGTACCCTGTACCACTAGCCACGGAACTGTACCCTGTACCACTAGCCACGGAACTGTACCATGTACCGCTAGCCACGGAACTGTACCCTGTACATCCCAGACATGACTGGAAACACAGCTAAAGAGGTTTGAAAATGAACCCAATCATCTTTCTTCATATTCGTGTACATGTTTTACAAGGTTTCATTTTCTTTCCATCGAAGGCGCGTCAGGAATAGGCAGAGTGGTGACGATTCCGGCCGCCAGGTACCCTCCAGTCTTCTCAAAAGGGGACACTAACGTACAGTGGACGTATAGCGCATCGTGTTGTGATCCCACGCTGAGTGTTAGCGTGTACGACGTTGCTGGTAACGTCGGCGTCTGCAGCGTTGACAACACCGACGATTCTGGAGGTGGAGGTAAGACATTGGATACGTCTGTAAGACGTTGGACAAGTCTGTGAGGCGTTGGACACGTCTGTAAGACGTTGGACATGTCTGTAAGACGTTGGACACGTCTGTAAGATGTTGGATACGTCTGTAAGACGTTGGACATGTCTGTAAGACGTTGGGCATGTCTGTAAGACGTTGGATACGTCTATAAGGCATTGGCACGTCGGTAAGACGTTGGACACGTCGATAACGATGGCATTTTTAAAGGTAAAGAGTTGACAATATAAACATTGGGTGTGTGTGTGTGAGGGAATGAACAGATTGTTAAAATTGGTGAATGCGTCTTTGGGATCGACCGCTGGATGGAATGGACTTGGTCCATGGACGGGTTGATGGGGGGGATTATTTCAGAGGGTCATGGCCAGGTAATGTGGTTACCTGGCCATGACCTTGGCCATCTTGGATGGGTATCTTGAGACGTTGTTAATGATGCAATGATAAATGGTTATTAAGTGTAATTGCTTTCAGATTGCAAACATTAAGTTTTTAGCAGCAACATTGTCTCGTTCTCCTGTGTTATTATGAGTCTATTCAAGTGTCTTGAAGATCTGTTATTACTGTTATATCAAACTATAAAATGCTAAATATAACACGGTTATCTACAGCCTGTAATTTCTCTCACGCTATCGTCTCTCTTACTCAGATAACGCAAAACTCAAGTCAGGGGAGATAGCAGGAATTGTCGTAGGATCGGTCTTGGGGTTAGTACTGCTTATCCTCCTTGTTATCTTGATCGTTGTTCGCGTTCGCCGCAGTAAGAAGGAAGATATCACCCTACGTAGGCACGCAAGGAGAACGGAAGAATAGGGGCGACTGAAGGAACACTCATCAGAAGAGGAAAATGTCTCTCAGACCATCAGAGAATCATCAAGAGGAACTCTGACAACAAGAGAAGGAAATCGCCGTAACCAAACAACTCTTTCCGTCGATTCTTCAAGAGATTTGCTATCTGGGCCGTCCAGAGGACCCTCGCTGACCTCTGAGTCCATGACCTCTGACCCGGAGAGGTCACCGTCATCGCTCTCCTCAGGGCAAAGAAATACTCTGTATCCTGTGAGTCAAACGAGCTCCTCGATCTTCACGACGTCGACCCGGACGGAGGACTCTGTCAGGTCCTCAGACGAGTCATCGGGCTCTAGATCTTCGTATCTGTGGGGCTTTTGGAAAGTTAAGTTCATACGTCCACCTTCATTGTTCACAGTGACTAGAGCAGGCAAGTAAGACGTGATGCATTCTGAAATAAAGGTGATGTAGATTGAAGCAATTTCTACATTTCACAAAACATTCACACTTGAAGATCGATGCAACATTTAATGCAATAATTTAAGTTATAATTTAAATATATAACACTGTTTTATGCAACCTGCAAAACGCTCTTACTTATGCCTCCAAGAAATGTGAAGAAAATGCCTGATAACGAGGCCCGTTATCGCCCTGTCTCGACAATCTCTTGGTGACACCGATGACCCCTAATGACCGCCATGACCCGACGTTGTCATAGACGCATCTCAGTTCATTAAGACTTGAGATCTCCCGGACCAGTATTCACAGAACATATCCGTTTCCTCTTACGACATGTGTACCTCTTATCTCGATCATGGCGGCTCGTAATCCGGATTCGGAACTCGTAAACTGTTTAGTAAATCCGACTAAGACGCCATGATCGAGCTAAGAGGTCCAGATATCACAAGTGGACACGCAAGTTGTTTGTGAATCCTTTCCTGGATTGTCTCTAGAACCTCGTAGCCATACCAACTGGTTCATACATTTCTGGGTGTTCCTTCGGATCAAGTATACATTATGTATTCATTAATACATGTCGCAATGTGTGTTGTGATGTTATGTTCATAATATTGTAATTTTGTAAACATTTGCACATAGATCTAAATACTTACTATTGTAGATGGTGAAAGGTATCGTAGTTAAGGAGTAGAAACACTGTATATTGTATTATAATATAACATTTCCTATGTGAATGCCATGCCTATAGATATTCGTATGTAAATAAATAAATTACTAAATATTATGCAGGATTTAATTTTCACCTTTACACTGATAAGCCAAGAATATTCAAATTAGTTTTGTTCTCTATTTAAAGGATTGAGCCTAAGGGTTAGATTCTGTTCTCGTCTTTAGTTACAGGATTGAGTCCAACTAAGGTTATATATGATAGTTTACGTTTCTGCCCGAAACGCTTCGCGTAATAGTGGCTTTAGGCATTGTATGTACTAGCTCTATCTATAAATCGACCAATTTATGTAAAATCTCTTGTATGTATGTACCTTACCTGAATAAACATTTATTTATTTATATATTTATTTATTTATTTATTTATTTATTTATTTATTTAGTTAATGAAGGCTAGATCCTGATCTAGTTTGCAACCTATCTTTTACTTTGTGACTTTTTTCCATTTTAAAACATCAATTGGAATTCTGGATTAAATTTGTTTTCGTCACAGATCTATAAAAGAATGTTGGTATTAACACACATTACTTGTGGTAATAGTTTATCAAGACTTGAATAGTTAAGATATCATAATTTGGGGCCCAGTTCCTGAGCCCATTATGTGCCTTTGCAACATTTTCTACTACTGCTCATAGGATGGGTATGGGGTCCACTACAACCCACTGGATGGGTATGGGGTCCACTACAACCCACTGGATGGGTATGGGGTCCACTACAACCCACTGGTTGGGTATGGGGTCCACTACAACCCAGTGGTTGGGTATGGGGTCCACTACAACCCACTGGATGGGTATGGGGTCCACTACAACCCACTGGATGGATATGGGGCCCAATACCGCCCACTAGATGAGTATGGGGCCCACAGGATGGGTATTGGGTCTACCACCACCCACGTGATGGATATTGGGTCCACAACGACCCGCACTATGGGTATATAGTTTAGCAAGTGGATTAACAAATATCTATATATTGTTCACGAGGACGTGCTTCCTATGCACGTCTAAGCTGTGTTTACCTAGCAATAGATACCTGGAATCTAGGAGCCTTTTGTGGGTTGCATTCTAATAAAGTCGGTCGTTGGCCTACAGGAATCTCAATAAGCCTTACAGACTTCCTGCCCCTTTCCGAATAGGAAACATTTTGTCAAAATGTTATACATCATGCAGTTTAATATAGTTACCCACTAAACTTAGGCATTTAAGTTTTCTTTTATAAATCTTCGCAGAAAATGATTTAGGGATAACTAAAATTGTTTAATACTTGGCATGACTGTAACATTTGTTCCAACCCGTTCTTATTATACGATAGAACCTATATAACTAAATGCTAATAGTTCCTATGCTGCTAATGTTCATAGTTCCTCTGTGGTAGATTTCCAGTTATTACCTATCACCAGGCACCAACCCATCCTCACGTACCGTAGTGTGTTACGGTACGGACACCGTCGCTGGAGTGAGGAGTGGCGACTTCTGCGCCATCTATGAGCCTGCGCTCCAAGTCCCCGGTATTTGGTGTGTTAGCTGCTGTTTTATGCAGTGTTAAATAGGCCGTCGTACCCGGGATTGGCCAGGAAGAGTTACGCGACGACAGTGATGCGTCTGTTGAGAAGTAAATCCTTAACTGTAGCCTCTGTTTAACTCAACAGTAAAATGTGTACTTGGTTGTAACAACGATTCTTCGCGGCGGGGATCGTATTCCAGGGACCTGCCCGAAACGCTACGCGTACTAGTGGCTCTACAACCATGTAACAACTCTTGTATATATCTATAAGAGCTGCTAGAGACTTCTGCCAGAGTACTAGCTACCCCTGTAAGTGATAGTTTGAGACCCTTGTCAGCGTGTGTATGAGAGATGTATACAAGAGTTGTTACAGTCTTGTAGAGCCACTAGTACGCGTAGCGTTTCGGGCAGGTCCCTGGAAAACGATCCCCGCCGCGAAGAATCTTTGTTACAACCAAGTACACATTTTACTGTTGCGTTAAACAGAGGCTACAGTTAAGGAATTGCGCCCAGTAAATCCTCCCCGGCCAGGATACGAACCCATTACAAAGCGCTCGCGGAACGCCAGGCGAGTGTCTTACCACTGCACCACGGAGACTGTATCTGGAGAGCGGAGGCGGGGTATTGACACGATACACGATACGGTGTGTGTGGACGGGCCCGTGCTGAAGGTGAACTCACAGGTGATTACCATTTAAGTGTGGACGACGTGTTCTTGGAAAGTGGATTCACAGGGATTGATGAACACAATGTATTGTGTGGTGAGTGAAAGACACACTTTGTAAATATTTGTAGTAATACTTTAATATATATAGTGGTGAAGGTGTTAATATATTGGTGAAGGTGTAATTGTGTATTGCTAATTTTTTAATCCCCTTTCTATTCTTTTCACTAATACTGTACAGTCAGTTCTTGAAAGTTTACCACCGACTTGGGGTTGGATATAGAAGAAGAGGTTCTAACAGCAAGAACTCGGTTACTGGTCCAAAGTGGCCTACAACAGTGTCTCATAGTACCCGTCCCATCGCCGTAGACAGCTGAACAGTCGGATTGCTCTAATTTTAATAACTATATTTTTCCAATCTCATTTCTGATGTGAAATTTACGTACTATTTTTCATGCTATTCGAATATCATAGATCAGCTTCATCATATTGAAGGCTCGTAGTTTAGTTTTGAGAAATCTTGGTAGTTCTCAGTAAATTATAATAAGCACTATAAATTATTACATATAATAATTATGCGTTCGCCAATAAATATTACATACAATAGTGTGTGCTTTAAAAATCTAAAGAGAATGGATTTTAGGAACGTCCACAGAAAACGATGTTCTGTTGGAATGTCTATGGGAAACAATACTGAAAACAGGAAGTAAATAAGATCCTAACATACGATGTTTATGGGGACCACTACCATCCAAAAAGATAGTTATAGGGTCTACCACCACATTTTGGATAGGTATGGGGTCCACTACCACCTGTTGGATGGGTATGGGGTCTACAACTGTCCATAGGATGGGTATAGGGTTCACAACCACACGGACGTGGTGAGGGGCTCACGTACACTTCCCTGGAACAGGTGTGGGTTGCCTGTGCCCCCTCTCCTGCCCCCTCTTTGGGTGGTGTACGTGCTGAAGGGCACCATGTAGGGGCCTTATGAGCCATCGGACCACCCGCTGGAGGGGTCGCCTGTGAGAGGCCGCCCTGAGTGGATGGTTGGGTGTCCAGGCTGGGGCGATAGGGGTACTGGGGTCTTAGCACCAGTGTGGGAGAATGGACGAAGTAGTAGGACTTCCCTGTTGAAAAGGGGGAGCACCGCTGGGCACGACACTCCCTTCCTGCACTGGCCCGCGCTCGGCCTCCCTGGCTGCCCTGGTAGGTGGTATCCCTTGGTTCCAGGTCCCATTCTTTAGTTATTGGTTTGCTGTATGGTTGACGACTTGACTTCTCTTACCCAGGCTCATGGGGTGGGCGACCAGGCCCCTGAGTCAGACAGTCCTGGAAGACCGGGATCTGTAGCCCCCGCTACAGGACCCGGTTTAGGCCCAGACCGGACTCTTCCTCCCTGCTCCTCTCCCTCCTCCGTGGTTGGGTCGAGCCCCAAGCCTGCTGTGGTGACCGTCTCATCCCCTTGCACGGCTCCGTCTCTTCTTGTGACTACTGCACATTTTGACTCGTCTCTCTATAAAGGTTCTCATCGCCGTCTCTGCCATGGCTGCTCTCATATGCTCCCTTCCCATCCTAATTCGTTTCATGCTTTGTTTGGTCCTGCTACATGGACTAAGTACTTTGACCTCCTTCCTTTGGATTCAACTGCTCCTGACGATTTTTCCCTTCATAGGCATCTTGTCGATTCCGTAGATGCCTCTGTCACCTTCAACCGTTTCCAGGCCTTAGACCCGGACTCGCCCACCACCACCTCCCCTGTTTCCCTCCGTTCTGTCTCGGAGGGTCCCCCTCTTGGTTCTCTGTCTAGGGCTCCCCTTCTTTCTACCCAGTCTGTCACGTCTCTTGTGTCTTCTTTCTCCTCTCCCTCTGGTCCTCCTTCCCGTCATTCTCCTCCGTTTCTTGGCTCTTCACGCCGCCTGACTGTGCGGGCCGACGTCCATCGCTCTCCTGGTGGTCGTGTTGTTCGCTCTCGCTCTTCTTTTATCGAGACGCTGGAGTCTGTTGCCCAGTACATTGCTGCTGGGACGCCTGTATCTTTGAGTCAGAAGCGGAAACCTGGCTCCTCTCTTTCCTCCTCCCCGGTAGGTAAGAAGGCTTCGCTTTCTTCTTCGCCCCCTATCTCTGATTCTATCATTCCTTCTCCCGCTTCGGTGGTGCTGCCCCCTGTTCCTACTGTGGGGGTTTCTTTAGCCGCCGGTTCCATCTCGGTTCCTGCCCTCGCTGAGGTGCGCTCCTCCTCTTTCTGCCCCTCCTTCTCCCCCTCCTCCAGACCCCACCTGTCCACCTCTGGTCTGTCCTCCCGCTTCTTTCCCTCCTTCTTTACTCAGTTTACCCATGCTCAGAACCCTGACTTCGCTGACCCTGTGTTTCTTTGACGTGCTGTGTTTCTTTTTCACCTTTGTTTCTTCTTTGCTCTCTGTTGCTCTCCTCTCTCTCTTTGCTGATATCTATTCTTCAATGGAACATCCGTGGATATTACACCAATTTTCTTGACCTCCAACTTCTCATTTCACAGTTTTCGTCCCTTTGTGGCTGTCTCCAGGAGCCGAAGCTTGGTGCTCGTCCTGGTCGCTTCCGTGGCTATTCTTTTCTCTCCCCTCCCCCCCCCCCCCCAGCTGATGCTGGAGCCAATAATTCTTCTGCTCTCTTGATTCGCTCCGATGTTCTCTTTGTCCCCTTACTTTTTTCCTCGTCTCTCCACTGTTCTGCCGCCCGTGTCTTTGTGCGTAGATGGTACACGGTTCGTTCCATTTATCCCCCCCCCCTCACTGTCCCACTTTCTCTTCCCGATCTTTAACACCTCCTAGACTCCTTGCCGGAGCCTGTGCTCCTGCTGGGTGATTTCAATTGTCGTCATGCCCTTTGGGGTGGTGTGCTGACAAACACCCGGG